TTACTTTACTGTAGTGTACACACACAGTAGTATATATAGTCTACCTCTTTCCAAATGCGCGTTACCTAAACCACGTTGTTTATAGCGACGTTAGACGTTTGACACATTTCAATTCATGAGTGATGAATTTATAGCATTGTCGACCAGCCTTTTACGTCGATTTCACTTTCTCCCAGGCGGAATACTTAATTCAGTTTCTTGCACAGATCTTATACGCGAACAAATATTTTACCAAGGGAAAACTTTGATATCGGTGTCTTTACTTCATAACAACGTTGAATGTTGACGATTCCACTGCTCCCGTGAAGGACTAAGTACGAGTTCCCGCGCTGGCCGGTAAATAAAAGACTTATTGCTAACACATATATAAGTCGCCCACGTGTGATTTTTTTAATATACATACACTGTGTTTACGTACTTTAATTGCATCTTCCCAATGCGGTCTGAAGTGTTTTTTTGTATTTGACAATTTTCCATTTTAAAACGGCTTTTCACTCACACACAACAATGCCGGATTTTATTTTTTATTTTTGCAAGAAAGCAGCACTTAAGCAAAACCAAATGACAGACAACCAGTCAAGCGAAGACCAGCTGCTTTGGAGAATGACCAAACTTGCTATCAAATTGAAAGTCGAACAGTATTGAGCAAGATATTTATATTCAATAGCTTGTGTCACTGACTGACTGAAGACAAAGTGAAATGCAAATAAATAAATGTATATAAATATTGTATTGAACAATTTCTTTCTCATAGTGTATCTATCTAGCAAAATTTATTATAATTTCTTTCGGCCAGTATTATATTATGAAGAAAATATTTCGCAGCTCAATTCATCACTGAAAACCGCGCCGACCAAAATTGACAGTTATTTTTACAGACAATGTCAAAAAATTCATTTCGTATATGTCAAAACACGGTGGTTTTTGCGATAAAGAGATTCAACAATTACAATGTTATGTCTTCCGTTTGCAAAAAGAAAACAATGAACAACTTGTACTGCACAGATGATGTAAAGCTACTTTGGCTAAGAGCTTGTCGTGTCTGTTGGTTTGACAGTGGCGTTTTAGCTATAACATAACTTTTAGTAATAAATGTAAATATGGTAAATGTTATCTTGTGTGTTTGACAATATCCTTGTTATATATTAGATGTAAATGACAATTTCGCAGCCCAATTTTCCATTAGGAGAGACAGACCGCGGTCAAGTCAAATGAAAATTTTAAGTGCCACTCTTCGCCTTTCATTATTTTATCGTTTCGCGTTGTGTTTGTCAAAACCTTTTTGGTCTGGAACAGGGTATACACCGTAAAAGCTCTATTTAGCCCCCCTCTCTATTAATCCCCCCTCTCTAATAAGCCCCGCCCCCTTGAAAGTCAGATTTTGTAATATGCCCCCCCCCCCCCTCCCCTCTTCCGTCAGGCTAATGTAAATGAGTTTTCAGCAATATTTTCTGGCGTTTCAGTCACTTTGTATTGAAACATGGTCTTTAATTTCCAGAACTATCGTTGAGTTAGGGTATAAATGACGTTGCATTTGTAAGACGGTCATACATAACCCATTTTCTCGTTCTGTTTTAGAGAATTAAATTTGTGATTTGAAATAAGCCCCCCTCTCTATTAAGCCCCCCCCCCCCCCCCCCCCCCCCCATTCTTGAGGCCTAAAATTAAATAAGCCCCCCGGGGCTTAATAGAGCTTTTACGGTACAGAAGTTTGCACGAAGATCGGTAATTGATACTCTGGAATAGGATATGTTAGTCAGACGAACGAAACGCGTAGGAGTATTAAGGAAGCTTTTACAATTACAAGTTCACAGTGCTGCTTACTATTTAGACTGCAAAACAGTCGTTATTTTTCCGCTCAATAAGGCGCGAAGCGCCGTAAGCGTGATCCTCGCGCGCCCGCAGGGCGGGTAAGGCGAGAAAAATAACGACTGTCGGCATTCCATACAACGAATTCGTTCTGACCGGGGGTTCAAATAATATCGCTGAGGTGTTAAAAATACTTGACAGCTCCAACCACATTTTTTGTTTGTCCAAGTTCGCTCTTCAGTGTTGATGTCAACGAGAGTCTTGAGGATTAATTTTGGTTCTATATTGCCTGTAAAATGTAGGAAGTGTTCTGTTTGAAGAGAAATCGGTCGGATGAATCAAACAACACTGAAGAAACCCGCCTCGCGAAGAGGGAAAAATAATAAGAGTACACGTAGCGAGCGCGCCAGACAATGGCAGATTTGTATCGCAATTAATATTTTAAAACTAAATGGATATCCACAGAAAACATACTTGCCGAGCCCCAAAGAATTGGAAAAACGTTGCAGCCTTTGACCGAGGTTATCAAAGTCGATCTGTCGCTTCAATTTGAAGAAGGAACTATCTTTTCGTTGAGAGTTTGCTCGCCGTGTGCCCTCTGCTCTGTGTTCGCAAATTTTAAAAGAGAAATTAAATAAGAGCAATCAAACTTTTACCATCGCTACTGATCACGACGCCGCAACTTGAGAGGAGGACGGTTTGAGATTGAAACGAAGGAGTAAATATCCCCGGTAAATTTCCGACATCTCCCGGCATAAAAGTGCGCGCGTGTATCAACAGAGCTATTGTAGCGCCATCATTATTATTTCCCGAACAGCAGCCATTAAAGGAAGCTTAAGCTCGTCGTTCTCTGACATTAGGCTCCTAGGACAAGGAAAATTTTCTGCCAGATCTTCCCGGAACAGAACGCGTTCCACAACGGAACAGACCCATTTTAGACCCGCCGAAACTTCAGTTGTCGTAAATTATGCAAATTCCACGAAGAGCTCGTTTTACGTGAAATTGACACGGCTTCGAATATCTCTGATGAGGTGCGATGAACATTTTGTTGACAGGTAGCGTCAAAATTCAACCAATGGGAATTTCCCGTTGCTGGAGGAACGGGAAATTCGAACGAATTCGTTGTATGGAAAGCCGACAGTCGTATTTTTCAGCGTCTCTCCCCAGTCCTACTCTCCGTTTTCACACTCGCTCCAGATCTTTCATTCGAAGACCGCGCGCGTATGAATCGTAACGCGAAAAATACGACTGTTTTGCAGTCTACTTACTATTGTAGTTTAGCCTTTTAGAAAAAAAATCGTTAAAAATAGTCTGGAATAGGGTATCTTTTTTAACGTTTAGTCTGGAACAGGGTCTCAAAATTAGTGTTTTGTGGTCTCGTACAGGGTAAGGGCTTTTATAGGCCAGGGGTATAGTCGTTGCGTCTACGGAAATAGTGAATGGTTCAACGTTTTCCGCAGATGCAAGCCACCCATATACTGCTACATTGCCAGGGGTGGAAACATGGAAGTACGGGGGAAAACAGGAACTCGATATCAAATAATTTCCGTAAAATTTGACTTCTGCTGCTCTGCTATAGACAGTATGCAGTGAATAATAAACCAAACAGGAACAAGGATGGTTGAGGATGGAGAAGAGTAAGTCGGATTACGAACGGCGAACTTGAAAAAATTGGCCCAATAAAATATTTTGCCTGGTTCAAGTTCCCAATATGAATTGATTTTTTACGAAAATTATTTTTAATCAATTCCGACTTTTTCCCATATATCGGCAATATGGCGGGAAGGGTCTTTTACACGACAGTGGAAATCCACTTTAATGAACGTCAAGCTTTAATGAATACGTATTCGATAATTTTATTTTGGCAATATCGTGTCATAAACGTCGTATTGCATTTAATAGCTTTTCGTTGTAATATAAACAGGAAAACGTAAGATCGCCGGAGGCTTAAATTGTCATGCCGTTGCTTATTAGCAGTTCAGTTCTGAAAATAAGGTTTTAATTAAAAAAGAAATGTGTTAACTAACGAAAGGAGGTCCGGCCAAACGCACGTAAACATTTCAACACAACATACATGTTGGATATGTTTGGCCACGCATATTGCAACATGTTGGATGGTGTATAGGATCAAGTTTGAAAATGTTCAAATTTTTCGTGCAACATTTTTAGATGTTGCATGTTATGCTCGTTTGGCCACGTTCGTCCAGTATTGTTGCACCGGAGCATGCGCACTAGTTTGATTTGCTATTTGAAAGCAACATTCAACATACTGCAACATGTTGCAACAGGGTGGCCAAACGTGTCCAACATGTTGTGCACAGCAATATTGCGTTATGTTGTGTTGAAATGTTGTGTGCGTTTGGCCAGCTCCTTGACAACAAGATCCAACAATGTTGTGCTATGTTGCGTTGAAATGTTGCGTGCGTTCGGTCGGGCATTATATTAAAATTATTGGCCTTGTGCATTATTGTGTGAATTGCTCAAAATTCACCTGCCCAAGCCTCGTTTACTAGAAATACACGAAATTCTTCTCAGGTATTCCTTTCAACTTTGTTGCTTTGGTAACTCGTTTGTGATAAAATTTACAAGTTTTGGATTGGACTGGGAATGAATTGAAATAAGCTACAGTCTGCATACGTAAATAATAATAATAATGTTATAGTAAACCGTGTTATACTGCGAGTTATTAGTTATTGTTATACGATACAGTTGATTTCAACGCAATGTTTACAGAAAACATCATACTTTAATATTCGTCCCAACTATAAATGTCTGGCATTGAGTGTTTTTACTGAAGGAAAATTAGCGACTTTTCATTTGTTGTTCTGACTGAAGTATCACCTGTATGCAGACGACTCCCCTATTTCCTTACATGGAAAAAGGAGACATCTGCACTACGCAGGCTCACTACAATAGGCAACACCTATTGTTTGCATTTGTATAATTCCAACATTCAGTATTCAATTTTAACGAACATTGTAACTGAAGATGACATAACGGTCTTTGTCGAAACATGTCTTTTAAAACTTAAAAACGTTTTCCCCCCTTAAAATTAGTACTAGTCGACACTGTCGACCAGTTTTTGGCTCAATATACTAGAATTAATATTTGCATCGGTCGAGTTTCTGGGCCATAAATGAATATTCAAACTCTATAGCTTGGTTTTGAGAGGAACAGACAGTTTCGTGGGAGACGCGGTGGCCTAATGGTTAGCGCGTTGGACTCCGGATCTAGTGGTCCGGGTTCGAGCGCTGTTCTGGGTCGTTGTGTTGTGTTCTTGGGCAATACACTTTACACTCACAATGCCTCTCTCCACCTACCGGCGACAAAATGCTAAGAAGGTAACCTGCGATGGACTGGCATTCCATCCAGGGGGAGTAGCAATACTTCTAGTCTGCTTCATGCTACGGAAACCGGGATAAGCTCCGGCAGTGTGGGCCAGTTTGGCCCGAGTGCGGCTTTACCCTTTTACCTATTTTTTAAACTCATTTTTCTCTCTCCCTACCTTTTTCGGCCGTTTGTTTTCCGCGCGTAAATTTTTTCAGTCGTTTCTCCCACCTTCCTCTATAAATTTGCTTTGCACTTTGTAATGACATCTCCGACAACTGGGATTTGATAGTGTTTCTCTGAAAAGTAGCTTTTACATGTCATGCAACACTTTTAAAAGGTCATAGCAACGTTTATAATAATATACTGCCTGAAGCTACATTTATTCCCCACTGAAACGAAAGCGGTCTGACCTTGACTCGCCTCTTAAAAGCTTATTTCACATGTCGCTCCGTTTGTAATGTAAATTGTACTTTGTTTCAAAGCCAGTATTTTAATAAAATATAAACATTCAATTTTACAAAAAAATATGCAAAAGACTTCGGCTTTTACCAGCGGAGTCCAATATGCATAAGTAATTCGACGTGTTAACCCTTTCACTCCCAAGAGTGCCAAGCTGAAAACTGACGAAAGATCTTGAATTTCATTTTTCAAATTATCAAAAACAAACAGCACCACTTGAAAGTACTGCTCAATAGCTTTCATTTGAATGGTCACACACTAGGGTTTCATCCGTAGACTTAAAAGTTAGAACCACATTTATTGACTCGAGGTTTGACTTTGGGAGTGAAAGGGTTGCACGCGAATTTTACTAAAATTACGTACTTTTATCAGCCGTATAAAGACAAGAGAAGGGAAAATCTTTGCATGAACCCAATGTTATCAAATTGTTTGTGTACCAACTGCTCGTCTTGTCAATTTGGTGACATCATAATTGAAGCAGTTTTCATTTGTAAGGATCTTACAGTCTCCCTTGTCTCCTGGCGTGAAATAATTGTTTTTGTAACTTATGAGACGCTGGGAAAGATAGCTCACTTATGCCCATAACACGTCTACGAAGTTTTTTAAATTAAAACCATACTTTCGTCAGAAATTAAAGACGAAAAGTTACAGATAACTCTCTAAATTAGTTATGCACATGCCAAAGATTGTTTAATAAAAATAACTGTTTAATTGCTGTTTCGAATTAAAATTGCGGATAGTCTGCCCTTATTATTTGCTTGAGTGGACATACAAGACATACAACACTCGTGACTACCAGAGTTATAATTGCTATACTATCGTGATTTTAAAACCACCGAGGGTAGCTCGCGGGAAAACGGGACTGAAAACACATCGATAGACCTGACTTGTACAATTCCTTTCAGTACTACCAAAGACACTGGCATTAAAATAGGCCGTTTGTGACAAAAGCGTGAGATATTGTTTTCGTTTTAACATATTAACGACCATAACAACATGTACAACTTCAATTCTTGGGTTTAACGATTTAACCTACCTCGTGTTTTTATCGTGTGAGTTCAGATAAAGGCAATTTGATTGAATTTCGCGGTGTAGCGAAATTGACCTTATAATATCCAAGCACGTTTGTTATTCGCGTGAATTTCTGTTTGTTGTTTTAATACTGAATGCAAACACGATTTAAAATCAGTGTAACTATTCAACCGCGTGCTTTTAAAACTACAAATGCTTTACGGCATAAGTAACCGCTTCCAGTACCCAGCGAGGGGCTAAACGCTTCGATGTTTGGTTTCGTGTTTTCGATCTCTTGTATGCTAATCACTATGGTTTTAATCCCGCGACCGCCAGATCCGATTGACGACACTGACAAGGCTAAAAATATAATTTTTATCCCATGTGAAACATCAACTTTTCATTGTAAATTCTATAGCTTACCTTGTTCTTGTGTTATCCTTATAATTTCTGTTTCCCCTCGATATGGTTTCCTATCTTTCGCTTCAGCGTGTTATATGTGAAATATCTCATGCCCGTTAGAAACTTCTCTTTGATTATTTCCCGGCCAGTCTGTGAGACATGGATGATATCGTTTGACAGCACTTGAAGATCGCAGTGACGATCGATCGAAGAATATTTTACTTCGCCAAACGAGGGTAAACACAGCTTCGCTGTGAGCGATGTCCTGGCGGCGATCTCAAAATGAAATCAGTGGTTCAGCAAAATTTCTAAAGGAAAAGGAAAATGTGAAACGGGGACACCAACAGGGACGGATACATATGTGTTGAAACAACATCCGGGGACCCACAAAACTATCCGGGACCTCGTTGGACAATTTCCTGGGTCGGGAGATATGTCGTGAACATTTCAAATCAAATCAAATGATTGTACTGACCGCAAAAAAGGAACGTTTTCCTTAATTTAAAGAATTGAGCATTTTGCCCTCGGGGTTGATACGAAATTGGTTATTTAAACTCGGTTTCTTGTGTAATTTATTTAAAACGTGATTGTTTTGCATATGAAAGAAAATGTCAAATGAAAGTCGTCGCCCACACAACTTTGATTATGCATTGGATAATGGAAAAAGGTGTTTCTTAATTAACGCACCTCCCTTAAATTGTTTTATTCATGTTTCAATTGAAAATGTTTTTGAATAATTTATTGCAAACACTGGCGAAGCCAAAAAATCTCTGAAGATTTTCTTAATTTTTTTTTAATCGGCGAAACCGTATGTTTAGAAATAAACATAATTGGTTGTAGGAATTATTTGATGTGATACAACTCAATAAGAACGCAAGAAATAACATGAAAATAAAATAAATGATCAACAAGGATCGAAATGGAAATATTATCAAACATATTGTAAACACCTGCGGTAAATTTCGGTAATGCCTGAAATGTCATGATGTCGCGTCCGGTTCGACAATTTTGCGACAGGATAAGAAAATCTGACAAGCTGTCAGATAATACATTTAATATTTTTATAGCTTTATAGCTCTTCAGTTCAAATCGTTGACCTTTACTCACAAGCTTCAAATACTGTAAATTCTCTCAGCTCAAAACTGAGGGGGAAAAATCTTGAATTTCATTTTGCAAAATTATCAAAAATAAACAGTATCACATGAAAGTACTGCTCAATAGCTTTCATTTGAATGGTCACAAACTAGGGATTCATCCACAGACTCAAGGTTTGACTCTGATCTGGAAGTGAAACTGAGGGTTAATGATTAGCTGATATATATATTTCGACGTCGTTCCTGGAATTAAATAAGTTCTAAGCTTTTAATAAATATATCCTCGCATTAGTTGTTACCATGTAGCTCAAGGAGAAGCTACATTATTAATCATGACGCATGAAAAAAATAACAATAACAACAGCAATCTTTATGAGTGTCGATCCAACTAGTTTCAGCGTACCTAAAGCCCCTTCCACACGAGCAAGTTTTCCTTGACAAGTTTTCACTTGACAATTTTTCCTTGCTCGTGTGGAAAGGGAAATTTGGCAATTTTTTCCTTGACAAGTGTCCTTGTTCAAAAACTGGCGTGCCAGTTTTTGAACAAGGACACTTGTCAAGGAAAAATTTGCCAAATTGCGAAACTTGTTCGTGTGGACGTGCAACAAGGAAAACTTGACAAGGAAAACTTGACAAGGAATCCCTGGTGCCCAGCGGCCTTATCTTGTTGCTCGCGACCTGGATCCTATTAAAGACGATAATCCGCTGTACAATATTATTATTGTTGTTACAAAGAAAAATTGTCAAAGAAAAATTGTTTATCGTCCACACGAGCAAATAAAATTTGTCAAGGAAAAACTTGTCAAATTAAATTTGTTGTTTATCCACGGCCACACGAGTTTTCAAACCCTCAGCGGCACCCTAGCCTGCGAGCAAGCTCTCTTGGCCCAAAAACCCCCAGAGAGCTTGCTCGCAGGCTACGGCACCACTATACCCAAACATGGGTCAAGTACCCCCCCCCCCCCCCCCGGGGGTTAAAACATAGATACGTTGGAAATTAATTTTGGCCTGGCAAACTTAAAATACGATATATTGAACACATTCAGTCAGTTATCTTGATCCGGCATATTATCGTTCGATACGCATTTTAAATCGCTTATCCGTCAACACGTTTATATTTAATTGCAGTCAGTATTTTCTCGCGTGATTATAGCCTTGTAGCTGTCTTTTCGGTAGCCTGCGTGCAGACGACTCCTATTTCCTTGCTTCCCTTTTGCGCGTGAAGCAAGGAAATAGGAGTCGTCTGCACGCAGGCTATCTTTTCGGATGCCGGCCGGAGTGCGAGTTCTCTTTACAGTAGCTAGTAAAACGTCTAGTTAGGAACAATGATTTCAACCTCCCTAGATTTTGTACCGTAAATTACGGCAAGCAATCATTAACATGGATACTTAGGTCCTCTGGTCTAAATTAACTAGGCAGAGCTGGGGAGCTAGCCTGCGTCGCAGACGGACTCAAGGTCCGCCGGTTGAGTCCGTCTGCGACGCAGGCTACAGGGGAGCCGGATCAATGCATGACTTAGAGAGCATATTCAAAGTATTTTAATGAATATATTTCTGTCAATATATTGCTATATGACCGCCTTAGAAATATTATTTAATGTCTAGTTTTATATAGTGTCCCCAATTAGCTGTACAGCTAAATAAGTAGACACTTATCTTTATCTATCTTGTAATCGCCGAACAAGTACGTCTCGGTGTAGCTTTCCTACCGAGTTAAATAAACAGAATATTTAAACGCCGATAACCCCCTTTCAAGGTCGTAGTTGGAGAAGTTATCTACTGTGCTATTTAATAACCGTTGACATATCGAGGGGAATATATACGTTAATTGAATATTGAACGAGATATCTCCTTTTGAAAAACACCAAATTTAAACACGTTTGTGTCTGTTAGGAGTTGCACACAACCCCGGCGTATCACATCGAACGAAATCGAACGAAATTTTAATCGAACTTAATCGAACTAAATC